TCATTTGCACATTACATTCCAATTTGCCATTATAGAAAAATTACAATACAAACATCAATTTCACTAGGGATTCATCAATCATTAGTCCTAGGTCTCAACAGGATCAATTCTAATCAAAATTAAACAAAGGAAGTCCAAGATATCAAACGATTTCAAACCACAATTCATGGCCTTCCAAGTACATTTCGGCCAAACCACTTTAATAATTCCACCAAAAACTTAACTCTTGCAAAAATTACTCAAATGGCCAAGAGCTTCATCAATCATTAGCTCTTGACGACAAACAATCATTCCTTACAACAATAAACCAGAAACTTAACTCAAAACATAAAAAGAAAGTCACGGCTAGCTTACTTACAAATACCCCTAGAAATTCAGGTTTTTCTTCTCTTGTTTCGACAACCAAAAAAAAAAAAAAAAAATTCCAGCAATGTCAATTCACGAAGTCCATCAAATCTCCATCTTTTACTTGCTTGAAACACTAAACACATAGCTCAACCTAAACCAAAACAAATAACACACAAATCCAGAAAATAAATTCATCAAAAGCCTCAACTAATTCGGCCAACAACCATGTACAATTTCCAGCAATATAACAATTTAACTTATAGTACTTTGTCCATAATTTCTTCGATTTTTACTTCAACTCACATGCAAAAGGTGACTAGCAAGCTACAAGCTACTCTTAAACATCCAATATGAAAATCTTGACTAAAATTCGAAGGAAAACTGATAGGATGTTCACCCCCTTCACTCGGCCATGCTGAAAATTTTTTAAAAAGCTACCCAACTCCTTAAAATACAGATTTTCTTTTTTTGTTCTAACCACAGCTCTTTTCAGTACATGCATGACTAAATAATTAGTTAGCTATCAGTTAATCCAAAGCCAAGTCCGGACAACATCAAGAGTCACCAACCAACCAGAAATTCATCCAATTTCCTCTCGGTTGGCTTGCATGCAGGCGGATTCTATAACCCTTCAAGTTTCATACTTAATCCAAGCTGATTAATCTCATGCAAAGCTTAAACATCCAGCTATTAGTCAGCTAAACACACATCTAAGCTCCGATCACCACAAATTAACAAGTTAAAGCTGCAATTTCCAGCTCAAGCTCTCGGACAGTTCCAATTTCTTCAATATCAGATTTCTTGTGACTTAATTTATCATCCAACCGGACCACCCTCACATGCATGCCCCCTAAACAACTTCATCAACCTATAATCATCTAGCCTAAGTCCAGAATTTACCTCAGTTTGAAGCTCAGCTCACCCGACAAGCAGCTGCAAAAATTTTTTCCTCTCGGCTTGCTATGGAACTCAGGTATGGCTGGGCTGAGCTCAGTTTGTGTAAGCTGTGGAGTTGGTGGTTGTGGTTGAGCTCAGCTGATTGAAGATGAAGAAGGAAATGGCAGCCCGGCAGTGGTGGAGGAGGTGAAGACAGACAGCTCGCACCCTTCCTCTTGCTCACTCTCTCTCGGACAGTTCAGATTGCAGCTCACCAACTCCCTCTCTCCCTTGCTCAAGCTTACCGACAGAAAGGAAAAGAACAAAGAATTCGGCTCTCTCTCTCTCTCTCGGTCGTTAACTCCAAAGAAGCTGATCACTCACGGCTCACGGCAGAAAAGCAAATGAAATGAAGATATTGTGGTGAGTGGTAGTTGTTGTAGTGGAGAATGGAACCGGCAATATGGAAATGCTTAAATGTGAAGCTTGTTCAAGGTGGTTTCACGACTGCATGGTTAATTTGAGATGGAGAGAGGCTAATTTAGACTTTTAACATCTTGTCCGACCTTCTACTTAAGTTCTCATTCGTAAACTAACTCCAAAATTTTATCCCAAATGAAATTCGATAGCCTACTAGTGTACTAGTCTCGCAAAAATTTAATTATCGAGATTCAACGTCCTAAGTATAATTATAAAGGTTTTGATCTAAAATCGATTCCGTCTTAATTCTAGGGTCCCTTTAACACTTAACATTATTAACACTTAAAGTTAGCTATCGGAATTCAAAGAATCAAAATCAAAGAAATAAAATAACCTACATTAGGAATTCTTAACTTAACTTGGCAAAAATTCAAATAATTTAATATTTTACACAATTAACTTATTTGCAACCTTAAAATTATTTTTACATACATAATTAAGAACCAACAATAGTAAAGGTTATTAGGACTCTAAAATGCAAATGCGATATGTATATATATATATACATATATATATATATATATATTTTCAAGGTTCTCACAAAAGCATCCAATCTAACAGTTGTATGTGAAATGTCAATATTGCCCCTACTATATGTTAAGTGCTTTTTATTCAATTTTCAATTTAGTCGAAACCGCAATGAGCTATAATGTAGTTTTTCAAATTAGAGGGAGTTAAATTGAACTTTTTATTTACTAATTTTTAAAAATTTGTTTATGTACTTTCACTATAATATGATAGTATATATCAAATCATGTACCCCATATCAAAAATTTGGTAGATATTCTTTTTTGACAAATATTCTTTTAAATAATTTAAATTTTTATAATGACCATAAATCTAGAACTATATATTCATATTTAATAAGTAGAAAAAAATCCAGCAATTCATTTTTCTTCATTGCTAAATATTCAGTTTTCAATAATATTGGTAAATCTATCGATGTAATAGTTAATTCTCTTTTCTACACTAAATTAATTCAAAATTTAGAAAAAAAATGATGAACAATTTGAATACTAATCAACAGTATGGTGGTGAAAAAAAGTAATTTGGGATATATAAGATTTGAGTAATTGTGATCAAGAAAGTAATTTGGAATATAAGATTTTAATAATTGTGATTTGAAAAATATTTTACTATACTTATATATGTAATACTTTGATAGAAAGCAACATCATTAAGATAAGATTAGTTATTTTTTAAAGCAATGTCATTAAGATAAGATTAGTTATTTTAAAATTAGAGATAATTTTTAAACATATAATATAATCCAAATAGGATTCAATATAGATAAAGCCCAAGTGACCCATAACATGTTAATTCTCTTCAATTAGGCATGCCACATAGAAGTGAAAAATAACTCTGATTAAAATAGTTATTTTCATATATATATATATATATATATATGTATATACATAGATTACGGTTATATGTTAATGATTACTAATATTAGCGAGTATTAATATTAATATTCTATTAGGATATTAGTGAATCCACTTAATCGTGCCAATGGTATTAGTATTAGTGTCATGATAGGACATTAATCAATAAAAAATAATCTTGACATAATCTTCTAGTTTGTTGACAAGGGTAACATAGATCTATCAAAAAAGTAAAGAACGTCAAAATATAAATAATCCAACACACTTTTTTATATAGTATTGATATAACCTTGGCTTTTACTTGGAATTTGCTTGCTTTTGTTAATGCATGTAAGTTGTAAAGAAAGAAATTGAATTAGTCGTACTAGAATATTTTGTTCATTATTTATCAAAATACAGGTCAGCTTTATTCCTTCACCTCTTCCAAATCCTCAAAGATATCAAGAAGGGAGGTTCTTGTTTTATTTTTTTCTCAATTTTCTTTGTCTACAAATTATCCATTAGATATTCATTAGAGATGCATTAAGAAATCAAAGCATTTTTAGGATAAGAATTTCTTATTGCCTTGTGTTCCTGTATCTAAGTATTGATGAACACTGGATTACCTCGTTGAAAGGAATATAGGGACTTGCATGAAATGATGATTGTAAAATACTAGGGCATGTATTGTTCCCCAATCCTTGTCCTTATTTGTTTCTTTACCTAGATTCCCTCAAGTTCTAGATGCATTTGACTATAGAGGTAGTTCCTTAGCATAGGAAAAAAAACATGCTCACCTACTTTATGAAAAAATAAAATTACCAAAAGAGAAAAAACCTTTCTTCTAAAGAATGAGTTTCAAATTATGTTCTTTTTATTACCATTTTTGTGTGATGAGTTGACTACATAATCTACATAATGTGGGAGTTGCACACTAGCCAGAAATGTATATCAAATAGGTAAGAATCTCTTTTCCAAGATTTGAATAATTGTTTAATTGTTATGACCTCCGTTACCTTACCCGTCCTCCTTGGCACTTCTTAACGTGCTAAAATAGGAGAGGAAGAAACAAAAGAAGAGAAACGATGAATTGCTGGAGAAAATGGGGATTATACGTGTATGGAACTTACTACAAAGCTATTAAAAGAATAATTTCAAGAATTTGACTAAACTAATTTGAAAAATTCAAGAGGGTTTCCAAGGTGTGTGATCACTCTTCTAAAGCGATTATTTGCCCCAACTATCTTACTAACTGGGTTGAGATGACAAATTAGCCCTAGGATACAATAGAAAATAAAACTAATTTATAGCAAGTTTAATCTTAGTTTTCACAACAAAGGGATGCAAGAATTGGTTTTGCAACTCTAAGATACCTCAAGTTACCACAAGAGAGCTTAGACTACCTCTATTTATAGGCAATACAAAAGCAAAAGTAACTACAAAAAAAAATATTTTTAGTGACAACAATCTTTGTCAAGAAAAGTTGCGTATGTTGTCAGGAAAAGTTTTCGTGACGCTCATGTCGTCAGAGAAAATTGGTCACCTATACGCCGTCGGCAAAAGGTTTTCCTGACAACTAGTGGAATTCTCGTCAGGAAAAGTTCCATTTTCTGTGACGTGTCATCAAGAAAGGTAATCGTGACGATTCGGTTGTCAGGAAAAGTCCTCATATTCTTGACCTTTGTCAGGAAAGACCCTGAACTTTGTCACTAAATTTTCGATTGTCAAGAAAAGTCATGCATTGAAACTTGCTGGACGTACTTTAATGACAATTCAATGTCATTTTTCCTGACGACAGCTGCATCACTATAATATATTAGTTTCTAATTTCACCATGTAGCATTTTTAAGCCTAGCAATTTTAGTGACAACAAAGTAATAATATCATCTACTAAAACACTCCACCCAATCAAAATATAAAAGTATGCAAGCAAAATATCAACCAAAACTTTACAAATTTCATTAGTAGGCAACCATAATATGTCAAACCACAAAAGTTAACCATGTCAAACATTGACATATCATTACATTCCATGATTTGAAACCAATATAAATATTGCTATTTCTCCCTAGATAACTGCTATATACCTAACATGTGCTAAAATCAAAAGATGGACTTCAATTCCATGGTCAACAAAATACTAGAGATGGATGATATCAAAATAGAGGAATTCTTCAGTATGAGCTAAAAGCAGTCCAAAAGCCAAAAGCAGTCCATAATGTTGAGTTTATCCCAAACTCAAAAGCCAAAAGCCAAAAGCGGTCCCAAACGTTCATCCCAAACCTGTACAATAAAACCAAGAAAAATCTGAAATCAGAGAAACAATAGAATGGCATGGAAAAGATGTATTTTTGTTATGATGCATGGATGATCACTACAAATTGCTTAGGGACCACCTAATCATGAGGACAAGCAATACAAGAATAATTACTATGCTGAAGTAACCAAGTTGTTCCACAATAGTAAGTAACTGCACATAAATGCATTTGTTTCGAATAAAGATCTACAAACTCACCATTACTAGGAAGAACCTCCACACTGCTTCTGTTTCCAAATGAGGAATTCTTGCAGCATTTCTTGTATCCCTTGCTGGCTTTGTACAAGATTTTGGATTTGGGTATCTTGTGCTTGAATTCGCTCCTCATAGCATTGAATCTTCTCCTTGCACTGTTTTAGTTCTTCAAGTAGTGCTCTATTAGCTGAAGATTCGGGTTTGCGAGAAGATTGGGGTGGTATGACCCCCATACCCAACCCTTTGGCACGACCAGCCCTCTTTCCTAGGACATTTTCCATAATTTTAACTTCATTGACAATTTCTCCATTCTCGATGCATTGCCTTCTCTCTTCTTTTAACTCATCCTGTACATATTAGATTCACATAACTCAAAGAGTCATTAAATGTATAATATATATGTAAATGTCATGTTACTAATAAAAAACAAAGTTACTAGAATCAGCCGACTATAGTGAAAATTACATCGAGAGATTTTGCAGTATTATTCACAAATTGGCCATCCTTTTTTATGTGAGCAGCAGTCCAGGCATCAATTGCACTTGGTGGAACCTATTTTATAGCATAAAAGATCACGAGTTAGCTCTAGTTTTCTTCCTAGTATAAATATAAGCCAAAATGGAAATAAAAAATCAGTAATATACCATCTCTTGTGCTCGAACATGATTTGATTTTGAACCGCCAGTGTGCGGATAGGGTAACATGGCACGGTTCTTTGTATTGGCTTCTGATTTTTTCTATTAAATACCAAAAAGATAGTTAGACAAAACATAAAAGGCAACAAAAGAATTAAGATCATGCAAGTAAACAAAACTAGAACCAATCACCTTGAATATAGGATCTTCGAACCAATCACACGTACTTTTCCACTCATCTTGCTCAATCCAGTCATAAGGACATGAGGTAAGTGGATCTTTTCCAGCTACCTTCAACATCTTATAATCTATGTGCATAGTATTCCTCCACTGCCTATAGCTATTCTGAAGCATGTCATCCACATACATTTCCACATTAGGATCAGTTTCCCAATCTTTGAAGTCAAACCATCCCTATAAATTACCATTAAGAAATAGATCATTTTTAGAATTGGTCAAGTCAGCAAAATAAATATTAACACACTAAATGTCATTATAAAAGACAACGGTGTAATCTGGTACCATCAAGCCACCATATAGGTTCTGTTTTTTCTCATTTGGTATGTCATCATATGTGCGTATGTCCTTCAGTGAAGAGAGGTGCCTTACAACATAACCTATACCACTAGCAAGTTGAGCAGCATACTTGATTGGTTTGCAACATCCTTCAGAAAAGACAATTTCCAATGGCTTGCCTCCCTAATATTAACAAATGAAGCATCATTCAGGTATACCCCAATTGAAATTCTAGGAAACTGATTATACAAAAAAAATCTTGAATAGACAGTAATATTATATATGTACACATCCAATTACTGAATGGCATTTACATTAGCTCATATCATCTTCTCGATAACTTTTCCCGTGGTTGGGCCCCGGCCTTTTTTTTTGCTTTCTTTGTTCTGAGAACAATTGTTAAACATTGTAGTTGATGCTTATTATGAATTATCACAAATGCATACATTGAATGGTAATAAGTAAATCATTATTTAGCATTTTCACTTACCATTCGCCAATGCTTGAGTAGGATTACTATTATTTGAATTAATCTGGATATCATCACCTGTGGTAGCTGATTGATGCTCCAAAGTTGAGTTTGAAGTTGGTGGTTGTTCAGAGTGCAAGTTGGTATTGGGTGGGCAGCTTCTCTTCAACCGTTTCCCGGAAGGTGCCATCTGCAATAACACAGTATATGATAAAAAAGGAGTCAAATTAGTAAAATTTTGATGTCAAATTATAAACAGAGATCAAAATTTAAGTTATACCAAAAACTTAACAAAGAGTTAAAACCATGAAAAACATATCAGAAGTAAAACCAATTTGATCAATATTGGGTAAAACCACAAAAAGTAACACTTTCTTCTACAATGCCAAAAACCTTTTCACTTGACACTTCTATGCTATTTCTTAAGCACTATCTAAATCTATATCCATGTCAATGGTTTCATCACTATCAGAAGATTCAATAAGCATGCCATCTTCTTTAAAAACATTGTCTTCTTCACCATACTCTTCTTCACCAGTGGAAGTATGCAAAGGATTCTCCAGAACAACTTCAATTTCAACACCTTGTCTGCTTAAGAGGCCTAGTTCATCATCTTCGACAATAGGCAGAACAGTTCTTGTTTCATTTTGCTGCAATAATTCATCTAAAAAACTTGTATCTGCATTGAGCACATCTCCATCGTTCTCTTCCAAATCTGGTAGGTTCCACAAATGCCTATGTTGAACACGTTGTACAATTCGCCAATGTCTCCCCAACTTTGTATCACCAATATAGAAGACTTGCTGGACTTGATTTGGTAAAACAAATGGATCATTTTGATACCAACGTGATCTAATATCGATGGTCACAAAGTGCCTATCACTCTTTATTGTGTTTGTGCTACCTGTGTTATACCATTCACATTGAAGCAAGACTACCTTGTATGCATGAAAAAAGGTCAGCTCAACCACAGCCTTAACAAAGCCATAAAAGTCAATGTGTTTTCCTTTATGGTCACCCTCAACAACTAAGCCACTATTCTGTGTTGTACGGCAATCATCCCGATCTCTTGTGTGGAAACGAACTTCATTTACAATGCATCCTGAGTAATGCTTTGTCATGAAAGGTATAGGACCATTTGCTAATGCCCACAGCTCTTCAGAAACATCCAATGATTTATCAATGTGTAACTGATTTATCTATAAAATAGAAAACGAGTCTCTATTAGTCAGTTTTCAATAACTAATAAACTTATTTTTATAATATGTATAACTTACATGATCTTTGAACCACTCTGTGAATTGATCTTCATGTCTGCTATCAACATTTTCAGGATGAATCCTTTGCAGCATCTCTTTATGCTTACTGAAATTCAGATTGTATTACCAATATAAAGTAAAATAAACCACAAGAAGTAATATCGAAAATATAAAATTGAAATACATATTGCACTCACATTCTGTACTCTTCTATTTCATCACAGTTATTCAATATAAATTTATGAGCCACATCTAGTTCAACTTTAGATAATTTAGTAGGAGGTGTAACAAGTCCAAATGGGCGAACACTTAGTGAGAAAACCACCAGCTCCTCTGCCTTATCCTGATTATAGTCATAGTTGCGTCTCTTGCGGGTGAATTTTGTTTCAATGCCATGGAGATATTTGGACATGAATGTTAGGCACTCATTTGCAATATATCCTTCTGCAATCGAGCCTTCAGGACGAGCACGATTACGGACATACTTTTTAAGGGATCCAAGATACCTTTTCAAAAGCATGAGTTAATTTTCTATCCAAAACAGAATGTTAAGTAAAATAACAAAATTTGTAGTCAAACAAATAAGGAAGAAGTACCTTTCAAATGGAAACATCCACCTAGGATGTACTGGCCCACCAAGTTTTGCTTCCTTTGGCAAGTGAACAATCAAATGGATCATAATGTCAAAGAAGGCAGGAGGAAAGATTTTTTCCAACTTACATAATATTAATGGAGCATTTTTCTCCAACCTTTCCAAGTCATCCATCTTAAGGGTTTTAGAACACAAATCTCGAAAAAACTCACTTAACTCAAAAATTGCCTCATTGACTTCTTTGCACAAATACCCACGAATGCCGGCTGGAATAAGTCGTTGCAAGAGGACATGGTAGTCATGTGTTTTAAGTCCCATCAGTTTACCATCTTTAACACACTTAGAAATGTTGGCAGCATACCTATCAGGAAACTTAATTGAACTCAAAAAATCACAAAATCCTTTTCTCTCACTTGAAGACATCACATACAAGGCTGGAGGCTTTGTTTTCCTTGTACCATCATCATGTAAGTGTAGTTCGTGCCTTATTCCCATGTCAAGTAGATCATCACGAGCTTTATTAGTATCTTTTGTCTTATCAGGAATGTTCAACAATGTTGCTACTAAACTTTCACATGTATTTTTAAGGATATGCATCACATCCAGACAATGTCTCATGGAGAGTTTTTCCCAATATGGTAACTCAAAAAATATACTTTTTTTCCTCCAATTACCCTGAATTTTATCAACTCCTTTTTTCCGAGTAACTGGGTTCTTACCAAACTCACCAAAGACACCAGCCAAGGAATTTAAATGTCTTAAAACCTGTTCTCCAGAAAATTCCTTTGGCCTGGAGTGTGTTTCAATAGTTCCATCAAAATGAGCTTTTTGCTTTCGCCAACGGTGGTCATGGTTCAAAAAGCGACGATGTCCCATGAAACATATTTTGCCTCTTAGTCTTTGTGAAGCAGTATCATCAAGACAACATGGACATGCTTTATACCCACTGGTGCTCCATCCAGACAAATAGCCATATGCAGGGAAATCTGATATAGTCCATAAAATTGCTGCACGCATTTGAAAGTTTTGTCCACTATATGCATCATAAGTGCTGATTCCATGAAATAAATCTTTCAAATCATCTATTACTGGCCTTAAGAACACATCTAACTCCTTTCCAGGGGCACGTGGACCAGGAATAAGAAGTGATAGTATAAGAAATTCCTTTCTCATAAACTTATATGCAGGCAAATTGTAAGGTACAAGAATAACTGGCCACATGCTATATGAGTTGCTCATGTTACCAAATGGATTGAATCCGTCCGTGGCCAATCCAAGTCTTACATTTCGAGAATCTTTAGCAAAATCAGGATATTGCTTATCAAAATCCTTCCAAGCAATAGAATCAGCCGGATGTCTCATGATACCTTCCTCTTTAACCCGTTTCTCCTCATGCCATCTCATGTCTTCAGCAGTTTTAGAAGACATAAAAAGTCTTTGCAACCTAGCTTTTAATGGAAAGTACCACATCACCTTCTGTGGAACTTTTTTTTTCTTGCCATTATTGACTTTCCATCGTGATTCTTTACAAATAGGACACTTGTCCATCTTTTCATTTTCTTTCCAAAACAATGCACAATCAAATTTGCAAACATCAATTTTTTGATACCCCAAACCAATACCAGATAGAATTTTCATGGCCCCATAAAAACTAGATGGAAGTATTTCTCCTTCTGGTAACACATCTTTTAAAAATTCTAGCATCATGTCAAATGCCTTGTTAGTCATATGGTTCATCACTTTGATATGGAGAAAGGAAACAATGAAACGCAGCAGGGAGTATTTTTTGCATCCCGGGTAAAGTTCTCTTTGTGCATCATTTAACAATTTGTCAAAATTTTTTGAATCCCATTCACTCGATGTCCCTGATTCATGTGCATTTCTCATCTCATCCAATAAATCAGGTAACTCATCAGATTCACCATTTTCATTCATATCAAAGTCATTATATACTGTTTCATTGATGAAATCTGTCTCACCTCCAACACCATTCTCATCAAGGTTATTGTTCTTTCCACTTGACATATAAGAGTGTGCAGAAAATGGTTCCCCATGGAAGACCCAATTTTTATAATACATACAAAAGCCTTTTTCCGATAAATCTGATTCAACTTGAGAAATGCTTTTTCTCTTTGAATTCCTACATCTCCTACAGGGACAAAATAATTTTCCATCCAATCCCATACCATTGGTCTTAGCAAATTCAATAAAATCCTTAAGACCAAACTTATAATGACTTGACAAAATATTTGGATCATTTATCCAGCTCTTATCCATTTCCGATACCTAGAATAAGAAAAGTCTTAACTTACTAAACTCAAGGCATTGTTAAGATGAATAACTCAAAAAGGAGGAAAGACAATTTCTAGCTATAAAAAGATAAAGGAGGCAAAAAGACATAGAATTATTCACAATTTACCTACTTTTTATGGCTTAGTTATGAATTCCAAGCTACTTAGATTATTCACTGATTACATCAAATGCAATACTACTCAATAAAACTGAAAACACATTAGATTATTCACTGATTACACCAAATGGTATACTACTCAATAAAACTAAAAACACATTCCTGATTGTACTATTCTCCTATTGTCTAATTGTATATGCTCTTGTATAGTATATAGAAAACATTAAACATCATAACCCATAACTTGATTTACGCAAATAAGGATGTAAACCATAACATAATTTGCAAGAAACTAGCAGTCATGATGAACACTTTTCATTCTTTATGGTAAGCTACCAAATAACCACATACCTCAAATTATGCAATCTTTTCTCTGGTTGTTCCTTATCTTCTCTATCAAGGTAGTGAGAATGCAGGTCTGTTCTGCTGAATATGAAGAAATGCGAAATTAGATATTTCTCTGCTGAGGTAGACTGAAAACTATTTTATTGTGAACAGGATTGACTTTGGATAAGGATCCATATTAAATCATCAAGATTTCTTCTGAAACTTAGAACATTCAAAGATCCATTCCAACTAGCTAGCTAGGTTACTTGGGTTCAGTAATTGATGGCGGGCTAGTTTTTTTTGGAACATGTCAAGTTATGGATTAGGAACTATAGCAAGGAAGACAAACAGTAGTGGTTCAGCCACATTCTATCACTTTTTGTCCAATAGGAGTAATAATCAAGTTGTCCAATAGATAAAGAATTTACAAGTGCTGCACTTCTTTACGTTTCCCTTCTTTTTCCTGCCTACTAATGCTAACTGAAAACTGGCATAAAAAACCTATGGTATAAAACTTGCAAGGATATTATAGTACTTCAGAAAACCAGAAAGAGCCAATGATTGTGAAACTGTTTTTTTTTTGGATGTTACTCCCTACATTTCTTGCATGGATTTAGTTGGACATGATGGATGTATAGCCGTCCTCTTAACAAAAAGAACCAAAACCTCCCATTCCAACCAAATCTCTAAAACCAGATGGTCCATTTTCACCATAGACTCCAAATACCCAAACCAATAGATAAAAGCCCCTAACAATATAGGCCAGTTGCTGATGCATTTTTCGTCTGGTACAAATTTTTAATGCTCCCCATGACATAATATCAAACTAGCCAACTTCACCATAAATATTTATCCTTGAGATCAGCTCCAAATTTATAAGTAGGGGCCCTTAGCCAAAAAATCTAAAATACACTTGACTGTGTCGCATTATTGCGTGAATTGCTCCCACGTCCTATATTAAATTAGACCTGTGCCAATCTGTCAATGTGACTATTCCCATATTAAAACCCAAACCTCCCAAATTCTGCAAATCTTGAACTAAAAACTGAATTTCAAGTGTATCTGTATCAGAGAAAACAATTTCACTTTTAATCCAAGTTTCCCCTTTTAATCCAATCAGATAATGATGAATAGAAGGCACTGTAAAAATCAAGCCAACGGCTGGAAAATGCTCTTGATATGGGAACTTACAGTCATAGTTAGCCCATCCAATCCTTTGGCCAGCCAAATCATAAACAACAATCTTGTCTTTCAGAACAAGGTCTGCATGAAAGGAAACAAATAATGAAGAAAAATAGGAAACAAATTCCAGTTTCATTCAGACACTTTCATGACAAAACAAGAGGACAAACCAGAAACACTGAACAGGTATCTCTGCCATCACATTGAAGACTCATACTAAATGATCAATCAGAGATGAATCCTTAACAAGGTTACAGACATTGAAAAATGAAAGAAAATTGTAGTAGATAAAATTGTTGAAAGCCGGTTGCCCATCACATGTATGACAAAAAACTGAAAGACAAATAACAAGGATAAATCAGGAAAAATGTTCGACACAAGACAAGCATCTAGCACACCTAGATGTGAACATTGCACCGTAAGTTTGGATCTACTCTGGAGTTAATCCAACAAATGGCCTGCAGTATAAAGTTCAGCTAATAATAATATCAAGAACGAAGATAACTGGTAAAAGAGACACATTTCGAGGAAGATTTTTCCCAAAATTTTCTGATTTTTTAATGGGCGTTCATCATATAAACCCAACACTTGTTAACAATCACAGAAATTCAGTGCTTTCTTAAGAACGAAAATATCCCTATTCTTGGATGACCAGCGGAAGAGAAAAACCCCATATGGATATTGGTCTCAAATTCAACACGCTTAAAAGTAGAGAGTATCTGGGATTCGTTTGCTGACCTTTCCATCGTTCCCACCCCCAACCTTATAGATTTGTGCATCTGGGGTTGTAAAAAACCATCATTTTGCAATTTACAAGTCATATCTGCCCAATGGGAACTGAACCTGTCAAGGACTCACCTCCAAGAATAGTCAATCCTTGACCCTGAATTTTCCGAAAGCTGATGCACCAGACTGCTGCACCATTCTGCCAAAAACGAGCTAGCAAATCAATTTTATATGTACATGTGCAGAATTCTCAACTCTTCACACGCAAGAACAAGTTTTCCAAGAACCGTTCCTTTGTGAACATCAGGGAGATGGGAGCCTATCAAATTTGCGCTAAATTCCTCATTCTCAACCAAAATAATGAAAATAATCAAATTTGAAACTTTAAGGGGCCAAATGAGGTTCTCCAAAACAATTTCTGAAAACTTAGATCACAAATGAGTCAATTTTTATGCAGAGAAAATATTTGACACCGAACTTGAACTGATGATCTGTAGGACCGTCATTTCACAGTCAATTAAGGACAAAATTGAAGGGGGATTCGGAGAAAGGGAGCTGATTCAAGACAAAATTGAAGGATTATTTGATTTTTACATCACCTTAGACCATCGTGTTGTCTCTCTTGTTGAAAGAGATGAAGCCAAGTTCAGAGGAGTTCGTTGTTGTTCTCTGTTGTTGGAGATGAAGACAAGCTGAAGATTTGGAGAAAGTGTACTTTGTTGTTGTTGTTCCAAAAGTAGAGATTTGGGAAAAGTGCTTCTTGAATTTCCCGGTGTCTATGTCATAAGGACAAGATGTCCTTCTAAATTCCTTTTCGGTCCAAGAGGGGAAAAAAATTGGTGGGAAAGAAATGGAGGGAGAATGAAAACTTTTCCTGACGAATTGATGTGGGGAAAGTAACTTTAGACAATGAAATAAATAGAAAAACACGTTTAAAGTAGCAGCACCTTTTGATGGATATTTACTTGACGGGTTGTCATAAAAAGCATGGTTTTCCTAACGAAAAGGTTTCTTGTCATGAAAAATTTGTCACGAAAAAAATAATTTTTTGTAGTGACATGAACCTCATTCAAGGTCCATTCATGAATATAGTACACCAAATTTATGAATTGATGAACTTGAAAAGATACATCAATGCATTTTCACTTAATATTCATTTATGAATCTTGTACACCGAGTACATGAATTGAGTGGTTTCATAAATGAATTTGAGAAGATATACCAATACCAATGAATCTTGTAGAAAATTCATGAATCAAACTTCTAGATAAAACTGAAAGATCATTGTTGCGCCCCATTTTTTAAAAATAAAATTTAGACATTTACAATAGAAGTGAATTTTTATTAAAAGGCGAGTGAAAAAATGGCCTGAAATGGGACTTTAAAGAATGAGACAGTTTGGACCCAAAATTTAGTCTAAAAAGGGTTTTAAGAAAAATAGGAGTCGCCACTTGGTATTGAGTCTGCGTGTACCAAATCACCCAAAATATTTTTCTAACAAAATTTAAATAAAAAAATTAAAATAAAAAATAAAATAAAAACCTTTTCGACAACTCCAGGTCTTTGAAAACAAGATAAAATGAGTTTGAAAGTCACGGTTGAAAAAAGAGAAGGCAAAGGTTCAATTAACTCAAACTTAAGGCACCCTTTCAACCTTGTCTAAGTTAATTGCAAGGTTTAGTCAAAATTTTCGTAATCTAACCCTTAAATTTATCACGTTTGGATGTTTTCTATATGGATGCAAAGCTAAATTTGTAGAAAATATCAAAAGGGATAAAATGTTCATTCAAGGGTTTAATTGATATCAATTGCATTAATTGCGAAGACCAAAATAATCCCTTAAAAGGATCACAAGTATGCAAAAATGAAATCTAAAAGAAAAGAAAATTAAATTATATATAAATATAAGTGATCAAGAAAAAAAGAATGCAATATAATGGGTACGAGGGGCAAAAGCTCGTGACATAGTTTTTTTTATACAGGAATTAATGAGATATTTAAACTAAAAGTTATAATTGCTCATTTCCCATGTTCAAAGAGTAATGCTCCTAATCTAGACAAGCAAATAAACTAACTTATTTTTTACAATTTATTAAATGAGGTGCAATTCTAAATAATATGATTAACACATATAGAGAGTAGGGGATAATATAATAGAAAATATCATGCAAATGAGAAAAAATCCTAAAATAAAAATATGCATGAAATATAATGAATGTCACACAAAGATGAGTCTAATGCATGAACGATTTAAGGGTCTAGCATTGGACTAACCCATTTCTAAAAATCCTTACTAGCGTTGGACTAACAAGTAAGCGGAAGGAGAAGCCACAACTAGTGTTGGACTAGTGTGGTGACGTCATGCATTCATGATATATAGTAAAACAAATAAGGCATACATTAAAGCAGTTAAGCAAATAAGAGCATGTAGCACGTAACACATGAACATAATATTTAGATGCAAAAATTCTAAGAAAAGCAGATAAAACACATAAAACATAAGCCACATAAACGTACAAAACCTATTTATGACAGTGGGGAGTCTAACTACAATCTAAAATAGGGAAATATAAGAAAAGAAACCTATCTATCCTATCTATTACAATAGGGAATCTAATTATAGTCTAAAGTGGGAAAAATATGATAAAATAAACTTACTTATCCTATCTATTATATTAGTCTATCTAATTAAAATTTTTGCAAAAATATTATCTATCTATTACATCTTGAGGTATTTAAAAACCTCCTAAATAATTATAAAATTAATTAAACAAACATAAGAAAATTTAAATGAACATTTGAATTTAAATAAATAACAAAGCATGCCAAAATACATAAACACATAGGATTACGTAGGAGCATATAAGAACACATAATTGACATTTAAATAATAATAGGGGTACCTCCCTTTTGAAGTGGTGACTAAATGGAGTCAAGTTGCCCTATTTATATTCAAAATAAACAAAAGAATCATGACACCAATTTAATTGGAAGCAATAATAATAATAATAACAACAGTAAAAGTACTAAATTTATATTAATATGTTAAATATAAAGAAATTTAAGAACATCCAAAAATTATGAGTTAAATGCACTCAAGAGTAGCATAATTGGCTATTAAAGAAAAGAAACAATCATAATAGAGAGAGTTAAAAAGTCACTAAGGACTAAATTTCAACAATTAGAAAATGTTTGGGGGCAAAAATATATTTTTCAAAAGTTTAAAAGTCAAAATTAAACAAATATAAAATTCGGAGACCAAATTAAAATTAAATTAAGGGCATAATTGAAAATATTTAAAATTATTTGGGCCATAGTGAAATTAATTGAAAGTCAGGGGCTAAAGTGAAAATTATGGTTTCTCATTGGGGTGATAAAAAGACCATCGGGCCATTTCTTTTTATTTGCTTGGGCCAGAGCCATCCGACCCAAGAGAAAATGCACGGTATCTTCATGGAACAAAAAAATAAGCCCAAGTGTAAAATAAAGAAACAAGCCCAAGTTTTCTCCTTTTTTTTTTTTTTTTCATTCTTTCTTTTCCTTTCTTTTCTTTTTTCTTCTCTCCTTTCTTTAGTTTTCTTCTTCCACTCCGGCAGGTTGAGGCATCAACCCTGGCGGCCATGGCTGCGCCGGTGACGGCGCTGCCGCCAGAGCACCGCCAGTCGCCAGTCGCTGATGATTTTTTCGGTCACAAAATTTCACCAAAATACACCCTCTCACTCAATTTTTCGCCAAAAATCTGTTTTTGAAGTTAGTTTTTACGAAAAAAAAAGACACGAAAGTGACTAAAATCCAAAAAAAAAAGCCCAATTTTTTTATTTTTTAAAAACACTATAATCATCACTAAAAATTATAAAATTTATACCAAAACACTCCTTATTATTTTTACAACATAGCTATGATCTTAGTTTGACGAGGAAACAACAACAAAAGACTACATTAAGACAAAACAGTCCCTAATTTAAAAAAAAAAATCCATTCCTTGCTTTTGAGGTCAAAACTTAAATTTGGACAATCAAAAATCTTTTCCAGGCCCTGTGCTAGCTAGGGTCATCTATTGTAACGAAACTATGCACAAAAATTCACTAATTTGATTCATTTTTCATTTTAGCATTTTACCAAACACAAACAAGGCAATACTTAAATTTACATGATTCATGAAACCTGGATAGATTTGAACTTCCAAAATTTTTTATCAACAATCAATACAGCCATTATCACAAAGAAATGAAATGAAAAAACAAGAAAGGAAAGCAAAATGTTAACTACGTGAGAGAAAAGGAGAAGAATACCTCAACTAGCTTGTGGCCTTTGAATCCTAGTGTTGCAGATTTGTTGAAGAAACTCGTGACTATTTTCCGGCAATGGAAAATTCAATGGCAGTAATAATTCTTCTTTGTTATTTTGCCATCTCATTCTTTTTCTTCCCTTTTCTTTTGAGAGGGGAACAAAGCTGAGGAAAGCCAAGATGGGGGATTAGAAGGGAAGTTGTTGTCAATGGGTGTGTGTTTTGGAAGAAAAGAAGAAGCAAGTCCGAGAGCTCGAGATTTTTTTTTTTCTGTGTTTTGTGTCGTGTGCCTGTGAGCCGAGAGGGAGAGAAAGAAGTTAAGGGAGTCTTTTTTTTTTTTCTCCTCTTGTCTTGAAAGGGAAGGCCGAGAGATAGGGGAGAAATAAGTGGGATTTTATTTTCCAAAAATGATGATTTTTTCACCAACTGACAAGAAAGATGCATGAAATAACACATTTTTACCAAAATGAGAAGAAAGGTCAATGCGGATGGAGTCTAAAAATGGGTTAATGGTGGTTTTGGTAAAACGAAATGATTAGGATGATTTTTGATATCTTGATATTCTTTTTTTCTCTTCTTTTTTTTTTCTTAAAACTAACCTACAAAAATGAGAAAAAAGATGCACATTAAAATACAAGAAAATAAATAACTCATTAAATAGATAAAATTCAAGAAAATATTAAAATTGATAAAATTTTGATGTCTACAATCACGTCACAAGTCATGATCATTTTCATACTACAAACAAATTTCCAATATTTTCCCACTTAGTTTGTAGTATGAAATGTTAGACCAACACTTGTGATATCATGCATAAAGAAAAGTAACTTTCGTTTTAAACTTTTCCTTAGTGCAAATAATTCACAAGTTCTAATCAATTCAAGGTGACTAGATTGCTTAAACCAAGATTTGAAATTAGAATAGAATTATCACACACATGAACTAATCAACTTGCATCCAACAATCACATATCAATTTTAGAACTATTACCGGTCATGTGCTCATCCTAGTTCATGATCATGTATAAAAGAATATCCTAAACTTTTACTAGAAGCGGCACCACTTCTATGATCGTATAGATAAACTATATTTCTAACTTTAATAAATAAAGCACTGAGAAATATGTTTATTAAGAGAATCTCTTACTTCTCAACCTGCTTAATTAAGAGTAACATGATGTACTATTACTTGGAATAGTATACACAAATATTATAGTACTTACAATAACTTATTAGCAACTTATTTTTACTCTTTAAACCTTTCTAACTAGGGATAGTACTAGAAGAAGGTTGGGTTACTATTGCTAGTGATTATAGGCAAAGGGTTTTAATCCCATTCCTGACGTTATCAAATTCACCGAGCCTCTCGCAAGAGTTTTAGTCAACGGATCTACTAAATTATTACAAGTTCTTACAAACACAACTGTGACAACGCCATCATTCAACACTTGCCTAATATATGTGTTTCTTAGACTTATACGTCTAGATTTACTATTTTACACTTTGTTCAATGCTTTAGATATATTAGCCTCACTATTACAATGCAATGCAATTGCAAGCATAGGACATGGCCACAGATTTATATCAAATAATAAATCTCGAAACTATTTCGCTTCTCTGCATGTAGAAGCTAAAGTTATGAATTTACCTTCTATGATGGAATGAGTAATCATAGTTTGTTTCTTTGAAATCCAAGAAATGGCTTCACCACCTAGTATAAAAATCCATCCACTAGTAGGATTTTGATCACCAATATTAGTTATCCAAGTAGCATCTGTATACGCCTCAAAAATATTTAAAAAATTATTGTAAAAGAGACCCAAACTTTGGTTCTTTTAAGATAACCAAGAACTCTAGTCACTGCTTTCCAATGATCTTTACCAGAATTCTTGGTATACCTAACTAGTCTACACACTGAATAAGAAATATCTGATTTTGTGCAACTCATTGCATGCATTAAAACTTTCAATTACACTTCCATATTCTAACTGAACAATTGGATTACTAGTATTCTCATATAATTTAAAGTTAGGATCAAAGGGAGTACTAGCCTCTTCCATATTCAAATGTTGATACTTTTTCAAAATTTGATCAATATAATGTGATTGTGAAAGTGCAAATCCCCTACTATGCCTCTTAATTTTAATGTCTAAGATAATATCCACCTCTTCAAGATCTTTCATTT